GGCAGCTCCACCTTGACCAGCGTCGTAACCTGGGATCTGTGGCAAAGATGCTCCAGCACTCTGCGGCCAATAAGCTGTTTGAGGGCGAGAACGCACATATGACTCCAATGAACAACTACATATCTCAGACATATGAGAAGTTTCGGTAAGAAAGGAGAAATGAACACTGACAGAAAAATGATGTTGCATGCATAGCTGTTACAAATGATCTGTAGAAACCTTTATTTTTCTGTCAATGCTCGGGGGCAGCACTGAGGGAAAGGTTCAACCTCCATGATGTTGAATTTACATACAGTGTTGTTTGGTTCATGCTTAGAAGCGGGAAACCAGGTGTGGTAGAGAAAGAAGAAATGTTCCTTCCGATAACAAAGACAGGACGATTAAAAAGTAAATCCTGCCAATAAACATGTTTTTCTTGGAGAGTCAGAATCAGGTTAAAGGAAGAAGCTACTTTATCAGCAAGTGATGAATTGAACTCTGGGTGGGCCAGAATTCAAGTTCTTATCTGCATCACATTATCAGTGATCTTGTAATTATTGGAAAGCGCATAAATCTTCCAAAAAAATCACCATGAGTCACCAGCATTTTGATTAGTTTCCTCCATCACTTTTGTCAGTACCTGAGGCTGATTCACTAACTAAAAGTTATTTTTCTTCCAGGGTATTTTTCCAGTCTGCGTGTGATGTCCCTGAACCAGAGGAGAAGTTTAATATCGATGAATACTCAGACATGGTGAACTTGAGCAAACCTATCATCTACATCTCAATTGAGGAGATCATCAATACACACTCGGTAAATCCAAACAAAATGAGGCTGTGGAATAAACTGGATCAAATTGACCTTCCTGCAGATCCACGACAATGACTCATGATGTCAAGTCTACATTAAAAAATAACACTAGCAGTCTAATAAAGTGCATTTTTACTTACTGGATCACAGTGAAAAAATTCTGGACTGCTGTCTATTAGTGTGAGAGTTTGGTGCAGTTTGACTGAATATAAGGGGCTGTTGGGCCTGGGCAGATGTGTTTGCTCTTCAGAATTCTATTCCAGTTAGGATATGGTTCTGTCCCTTTCTCATCCTTTTTTTAAAATGACTTGTTTCCTGCACTCTCTTACTTTCTTTCCATCATTGTGCTGTTTCCTTTCTTTATATTTCCAGACCACTTCCTCAGAAAGGAGGTCAGTGGTGAGGACGTCAGTGTGTTAAATCCATCTGACCCTTTATTATCAGTTTCACTCACACTTACAAGGAACAATGGAGACAATGGAGAATGGGCAAAAGTTCTCTCAGCCCCAATTTTGACAATTAAATTGTATAGTTTCCTTGTTTAAATTGAGACAATATGCATTTATTATTATTTGTAATTGTTAAATGGGTGTGTTTGTTGCAATACGAACATAGTAAATATTACACTACAAATATATAAATATAAATTACATGTTTTTAAAATGTACTAAGCAAGAATTGGTTTGACTTGTAAGAGACACTTCCTAACCTGTGATCCATAAATGTGCTCTTTTCATTGATAAAAAGCAACATTTATGCCACAATAAGTGACTAATTACACAATCACATCTGTATTTCTTCAGCTGCTGTTGGAACATCTGGAGGCCATCTCTCCAGACCACAATGACTTACTACACGAGCTGCTGCAGGACCTTGGAGACGTCCCTGATGTAGAGTCCTTGCTCGGTAATGTCAAACTCTTTATTCATAGCAATCACAAGTTTGCTTTAGGGCGTTTATCGTTATACAGGCTGTGCTGTTTTATTTCAGGTGAAGGAGCCGTCGACTCAAATGACCCGAACAGAGAGAGCGCTCTGAACCAGCTTGCAAAGACTGAAATCTCCCTCACACTTACCAGCAAGTTTGAGCTGCTGGAAGGAGACGACCAAGACCTGAAGACTCTCATGACGAAGTAAGTTTGTAAATGGAGGACAAAATAAAATTGATAAAAAGACATAATTACAAATCAATAAATAACTGATTTCAGGTATCGGACCACGTAGCCACACAAGTGTTCAATATAAAGTTTGGGATTGCTGTAAATGCTGTGTGATGCACTTCACTTCTCCTTTTTGACACAGTGTGTTTTTTATGGCTATCACTAAGTAGCTTGCCTTTGTTATCTTTCCTGCTCTTCTATCATTTCCTGTCCATAAAGGACAGAGTTTAGTGGTCAGGGTTATCTTGCTTGTGAACATGTATCCGTGTAACAGACTGTGCTGGAGAGCTGGTCTCTTCATTTCTGGCATATGGATATTTTAAAAAGAGTAAATGTGGAGCAGTAAGTTAGCCATGCTAACATCACTTTGGAAAATAAACAGATTTGCTATAAATTTCATTAAAATACTTTCAATTTTGAAGAACTATATTTAAAATAAGCCCTGCCTTTAACAACAAGTTTATCTTTCATCTATTCGGATCCAAGCCTGCATATATGATTCTTTCTTTGTAAATAAATATGATCTGACACAACATTCAACCCAATTACCAATTCTAACGTTTTAGCCGATCAGTGTAACTTTTATTTCAGGTGTAATGTCAGCGACAGCACAGTTCTCGTTCTAAAATATTTTCTTGTGCTTTAGGACAAAAAAGCTTATAGTGGATGTTGTTCGAATTCAACCTGGAGAGACTTTGCCTGAAGTTCTTGAGACTCTTGCTACAGCACCACAGGTAAAACAAAAGAATATATGTAATTCATTTAGTTCTTGTTTTTTTGGAACCTGATGTGTTCAGTTATTGCTAATATGACTTATTTCCTGAAGGAATTGGAGCATACAAAGATTGTGGAACGCCGGGCAGTTCAGGACGCTCAGACGCCAGAGGGTTTAAAGAGTAACCCAGCCGTGCTGGAGGATGGTCAGCTGCCTCTGGAGCAGAAGAAGAGGAAGATCCTGAGGAACCTTCGTAACCTGGAGCAGGCAGGCCTCACCACTGCTGGTGACAAATACCAGGACCTCATCAATGGCATATCAAAGGTCGGGACATGCTTCTTCAACACTAGTTCTAAAACACTGTTGGACCTGTTCAGCCTTTACGTATGTCATATTTGTAATTGACAGGACATTCGCTACCAAAGACGCTACAGACAGAGGAGAAAGGCCGAGCTTGTGAAGCTCCAGCAAGCATTGACAGCTCTCAACTCGAAAACTGCCTTCTACCAGGACCAGATGAATTATTATGATACCTACATCAAGACCTGCCTGGATAACCTCAACCGCAAGTGAGTTGCACCATATTAGGATGAAGTGCTTTACAAAATCCGTTTTTGTTCATATGCGATGTCCGTGCTTCCTGTTGTTTTGATGTGATGTGGCCAGAGTTCTTGTGATTTCTTAAAATGTATTGCTGTGTTTTGTGTATCCAGGAATTCACGCAAATCTATAAAACTGGACAGCAAAGGAGATGATAAGGGCAGTAAGAAGTGGAAGCCTCAGTCTCTGAAGTACACTGGAGCGAAGCTGCACGAGAAGGGAGTGATCCTGGAGATAGAAGGGCTTCAGACGAACCAGTGAGTTCAGCTCAACAGGAAAAAGAGCTGATGTGTTTGATTCAGTTTCTCCAAAGTCCTTTGGAAATTTTCCAAATCTATAAACGAGGGTCCTATTTTTCCCATTGTGCCGTGTTATCACTTTTTTCCCTGTGCTAATGTTTTTCTCACCTCTCAGATTCAAAAATGTCATGTTTGACATTTCACCCACGGAGGAAGTTGGAGATTTCGAGGTAAAGGCCAAGTTTATGGGAGTGGAGATGGAAAAAGTCCAGCTTCATTTCCAGGTAAACAGTTCACAATGTTTCCATGATATAAAGCAGCTCACTGGTCATTACTCAAATGACAGACAGTTTAAGTTCCTGTTTGCCTCATTGGAAGCATCATGGGAATAAAGCAAATATTTTCCAGTTCAGACGCTCTTGTTGTGATGAGTCAGTATTTTTTGAGACACTATAATCATCTATATAATAACTGATTGTACCTCCATATGTCAGACATTAGTATTTATGTTGTGTATATAAATCTGCCTAATCGGACTTTCTGTTGCATCTGTTGTGTTTTGTGTCCAGGACCTTCTTCAGCTGCAGTACGAAGGCGTGGCTGTGATGAAGATGTTCGACAAAGCCAAAGTGAACGTCAATTTGCTCATTTTCCTCCTGAACAAGAAATTCTATGGGAAGTGAGAAACTAACGGGAGCAGAGGAGGAAACAGATTGTGCCTTTTGAGTTTGTTCAACAAAATGAATTTAGTCAGAAAACACGAGATGGTTCAGGACAGTGATTCTGTTTCATCTGATTCTAATTTGAGGCATCACCACTAATGAAATGCTGTTTTTGTCCAATGAAATATGTCCACTCTATATTTTCCATGTGGTAATTGTAAATGTAAAGTATTTTTAAGAATTTACTTATAATGGTAATCATATTTTGTATGTAAAAGATACTAGTAAACACGTTATTGCTCTCTTGTACACTGAAAAAAACTTTAAGTGTTTGGAAATTTAAGCTGAAGCGGTTCTATCTCTCTGTCTCTGTCTCTCTCTCTGTGTCTCTGTCTGTCTCTCTCTGTGTCTCTGTCTCTCTCTCTTTGTGTCTCTGAACTGTGGAGCAACAGCATGGCTTTATGAAACATTGTAGTTTACCGGTGCCTTTTTAATGAAAGCATTTAAAGCAACGTGTTTTAATTAATAAAACATTTCAAACTTTTAAAGCAACAGTTGCTCTATTTTTAATGTGTATTATCAATATATAAGTGATTTCTAATGTTTGATCGATGTGAATAATAAATTCCACATTCCCTGAAAGGTTTTTGACTTTCACATTATTTGTTACATATTTCTATAAACACTGAGGGGAAATATTTAAAGCTCATTGGTCATGTCACATAATTTCTCTGTATTGAGGGAGGAGACGTGTGCTGTGAGGGGGAGGCGTGTCCACACTGAACTGTAATAGCAGGTTTTAAGCTTGAAGAAAAACATTGAAGCGTCTGACGGGACAAACAGATAATTTCAACACGTATTCAGAGGATGTACAGTGGAGCCATGGTTCACCTTTCTACTGGGCTGTTGCTATTTGTTTCTCTCCAGAGCTCAGCACTCGCCCTCCAGAATGGTAAGTTGCCTTTTAACCATTGTTTAGAACTTGAATAGTTTGAATATCTTTTATTGGGTAAATTAATATAGTTTTTAAAGGGTTAAACTCCTTTGATTGAGCGACTTGTAATTTTTACCTGACTTTTGACACTTTTATCCGACTTCAGCTGCCCTCAGACCTTTAAATGCTGCTACATGTTAGTGAACTGTAATAATCTAAATGTATAATAACACTCTGTAAGGGTATTTGTGTTTTTTAAAACATTTTGTTGACAATACACCTGATATTGTAATTTTTTGTCTTTTGCAAAACAGTATTAAACTCTTGAAAACAGAATCCAGTTACTTACAAAATAAAAAATCCGCCCTTGTGGTCCAAGACTTATATGACGTCACCGTGACCATTGACCTCTGAATTCTAATAAATTCATCTTTGTGACAACAAATCCTCCTAAAACAGACTTAAGATATGTTCAAGAGGCCAAAAACATGATTTTTGAGGGCATCCAGAACTTTACTTTGAATCACCAAAATGAAATTAGTAAATCTGTGACGTTTGTACCAAATTTGAAAGAGTTATCTCAAGGTGTTCTAAAGATAACGTGTTCACAAGAATGCACATATGTGAGAACAACCCTGAAACATATTTCCTGTCTGTCTATCGCAGAGGCAGAAAAATCCATGATCCTTCTGAGCTGCTCTCAAACTTACTGAGTTAATTCAACTAAAATGATTTTTAGTAAAGCGCCTCATGATGAAGCTTCCTCCCTTGTTTTTGGATTAAAAACAGAAAGTTCAGTTTCTCTCCTCTGTCTCTTTAAAGATTCCCTGCCTCGGACTTTCTCTGGGCACTTTGTCACTTATGAGCCAGTGGACTATGTTGACCTCTCAATGAAGGACGACGGGGGGTTGGGCTCAGGATCGGAGCAGGAGCCGGTGAAAAAACACAGTCACCACCATCATCCACAGAAGCACTATTTCGTCTCAGATGGGGTCAAGCGTTTTCTCCAGGGTCCCCTGGCAACAAGCTTTGTCCCGACTGTTTACACCCTCGTCTTCATCATCAGTGTGCCACTCAACCTTGTTACTATGGTGATGTTTGTGCATCACATCCATCCCAGGAAGCCAGCAGTGATCTACATGCTGAATCTGGCCTGTGCTGATCTGCTGTTCGGCCTGCTCCTTCCTTTCAAGATAGCCTACCATTACCATGGCAACAACTGGATCTATGGCTCCGTCATGTGCGGGGTTGTGACCGCGGCCTTCTACTGCAACATGTACTGCTCTGTCCTGCTCATCATGTGCATCAGCATCGACCGCTTCCTGGCTGTGGTCTACCCCATGAACTCTCTGACATGGCGCAGCCCTCAGACGGCTTCGGCTGTGTGCATCGCCATGTGGCTGTTGGCCCTTGGAGGGGTCTGCCCTCTGCTGGCCTCAGGACAGACCCTCTACTTGTCAGACCTGAACATCACCACCTGCCACGATGTGCAGGATGTGGGACAACTACAAGCATACTATCGGTACTTCTTCCCCATCTACTCCTCTGTTTTCTTCTTCATCCCTCTTGTCTTCACCGGCGTATGTTACGTTCGTATCATCCAAGCTCTTGCGGAGGCCAACGTGGAGAACCGCTCCAGGAAGACTCGGGCCGTGGTGATGGCTGCATTTGTGCTGGTGGTGTTTGTGGTCTGCTTCACTCCCACCAACATCCTCCTGATGGTCCACTACGTTCAGCTGTCCCACGGCTCCAGTGACGCCTCCTACCAGGCGTACCTGCTGTCCTTGTGCGTGGGCAGCCTCAGCTGCTGTCTGGATCCCGTCCTCTATTACTTCGGCTCCTCTCAGTGCCAGAAGCAGATGGCTGCTGTGTTCAGATGTAGGCGACTGGCACAGGTGAAGAGCAGCTCAGAGAACCACAGCACGAGAAGCAGTGGGCGGACAGACAGCAGCAGCTTATGCAAGATGGAGAACGCTGAAACGGACCTGAGCAGCCACTACAGCCGGCTGGTGGCTTAAGTGCATGAGGAGGCTGAGAGACTTCCAACACACACCCACAGTTTAATACATCCGTGTTCATCTAAAACATTACTGCTTCTGTTTGATCGAAGGAAAAATAGAAATGCCATATTTACATACTTACATTTTTCTGCATATATGCACAGTATGGTTTAAAAGGTTTTGTAGAAGATGTGAATTTGAACTGGATTTATTTCCTTTTGAATTAATTTTTCTTGGATATATAATTGTTCAACACACAGTCAGTCATTTCACAGCAATTTTTTTTCAGATTTTTCTTTCAGAACCTCATTTTAAAGGAATTACAGAATATAACATAATAATAATAATAATACATTTAATCTAAAGAAAATGATGTAATGTGATGTAATTACAGCATAACAATAAAAGTGGCTGTTGGGTTTTTAAAGGTGAGCATGTAAAAGGAATCGCTTGATGTATTGATTTTCATTGAGATAAAAAGCTAGTGTGTAATTCCCAAAGCTTGTGCTGAAGCATGAATCAAAACAAAACAACTGCATTACACATGTTTTTGCTTAATACAAAAGTTTATCTCTTGTGTTTTTTTATTTCTATTACTGCTCACTCTGTACTCTCCTTGTCATCTGGGCACAGCTCTGAAAAACAGGAAAACGTTTAAAAAGATTAACTGGGAGTTCAGAGCAGAGGGAAGCGTTCCCTCATTGAATTACTGCAAACATAATAAAACCACACACTGTATAACCACGTTTGAAAGCAGCATCTCCACCTTGTGGAAACTTGTGTGAGTGGCAGTGTCCAGTAAAGATGAGGACACAGTTATTTATTTTTCTATAAGAGAGCAATCTGATTATTACTGACCGGTTTGTCCATCGTAGCTGTGGAAGTTCTCTGGGAAGTTCAGACACCCGACTTGCTTCTTGAAAATTTCAACATTTTTGCCATCTATTTGTCCCGTCCTCGCTGAAAGAGGAGAACGATTTTTTTTAAAAGGAGCATGCATGTTTGAAACTCAGCCCAAATGTGTGGATGAGGACAGGACTCACTGAACTGCAGAATGTATCGACCGGTGACGTCCCCATTTCTGAAGGTGTCTGTCCACAACAGGCAGTCCGGGCACGTCTGCAGGATGTGTCCTTTGTGCTCAGACAGATTCTCTTTGAAGAAAAATGACTAATTATCACACAACATCTGTCTGTGTCACTGCAGACTCATCTGAAGATAAATAAACTCACTGCGAAATGTGGTTGCAAGTCCAGACACTGTTGCATTTACCTCCCCCAGGATACACCGATTACTGAAAAGCAGTTATGACAGAGGTTTGCTTTCACTTACTGAAACACTGAATTGAAAAAGTAATCTTTGTGCTGTAGAACTTTTTCGAATTTATTTAATTAAATTAAACGTACAAACAGTGATCTCCCCACCGCAGCGTCACAGTCTGACTGTCAGAAGTGGGGGACAAATCTATCCAGGAGCTTTTCAGAGACTCCAGTGCTTTGTGGTACTGCTTTGGGTCACCAGCTCCCATCACATACACCCACTTCCCAAACACCTAAGCAAGTCAAGATTTCAGTGTACAGTATTTCACTCACTTCTCATTGTGCTTAATAATAATCCACTTTCTATAATCATAACATCAAGTGTCTTTGTGATAAATCAGAAATACAAGCATGACTCACCAGTTTGGGGTCGTCTGGTATAAAAGGTTTGACCAGGTCCTTGCAGTCGGGTGCGAATGCAGCACTGAGGGAAGTGAGAGCCAAGAGCAACACAACACCACGAGCAGCCATGTTCAGACAAATGAGGATGAGTGGCGCTGCAGAGGAAGAGCCTGCGACAGAAACCGTCTAACGCCGATTCATTTCCCCTGAGGGGCTTCCAAAAATTTATATATGTATATGCTAATGTGGGGGAGGAGGGGGGTTGTGCATGCCGAGCCATGCTGATTTCTTTTATCCAGCACTGAATGGTCAGCCCAACAGTCTTCTGTTGCCCGTGTCGATGGCCCTGAATGAACTCCAGCAACGTGCCGAGACTCCATTTGGACCCGGAGCAGCTTTTCATTGGCAGAAATAAAGGTTGTTTCCCTGTGGGACTCCTCTCAGCGACACTCTAAAATTTTGACTCCTTCTCCCCCCCCCCCCAATGGAGACGTTACCCGGCAACGGCCTTTGTTGAGGTTTCTGGGAACAGCAGTGCACTTTCAAAGAGCTGCACAAGTGAAAGTGAAGTATAATAATACTGACATGGGTCAGGACAGTGTCTGGCTGTTATTTGAGAGAGGATGAGGAAATGTCGGTGGTGAGAAGCCAGATGCTTTTTCTTGTGCAGAATTAAACGGCTGGGACACAATGAGGGAGACTGAGAAGTGCTTTTTATTTTATCACACACAACCAGTGGAAAACAGTGGAGGCATTAAAGGAGCTAAAGTACATTCATGTGGCAACACAAGTCTACATCAGTGCACAAGCAGATCACATAACACTAGTTAGCTCATGTTAGGCTGGACTTGTTTTATGTGTTTGGAGGCTGTTCACTTTCACTCTGCAGAAGGCTCAGCCTCAGTCGGCTCCTTCTCTGTGTTCTCGACGGCAGGTGAAGCAGTTTCCCTGTCGTCTTCACACAGATCTGAAATAAGAGAGGAGCCATGAAAACGGTATGCCGTGATAATGGAAGTGTGAATGTGCAGGAAGATGCAGAAATGAAATGACGACTGACTTGTGCCTGCAAAGTGGTACTCTGGGAGGAAGTTCAGACAATCGGCCTGCTTCTTGAAGGTCTCCAGTTCGGATGGCTCCAGATTGCCGGTCCGTGCTATAAGAGAGGGGCCACAGAAACAAAACAGGAAGTGAGGAGGTGTGGGGGGGCAAGAGTCAAGAGGAAAAAACTTTAAAACAATTAAAATGTGTGTAATATTTACGTTAAAGGGATCTATTTGCAGAAATTGAATATGAAATATTTATATATAAGACCCCAGAACCAGCCGTTTATATTTAAATATTTCATACTTACATCAGGAGTGGATCCTCTGTACAGAGGCCACCATGTTTTTTTAACTGTACCTTCAGGGTTTTTATGACAACTGAAGCTACCACAGGTTCTCTCTCATGTTTTGAATGGGAGGGTGAGGTGAGGGGTTTTCAGCTGTAACATGCAACTTCACCACTAGATGTCACTAATTTCCACACACTGAACCTTTAATACAAAGGAGTGATGGAGTAAAAAGAGAAAAAGAAAAACTTACTAAAGAGAAACAGGTATCGTCCCTTTGACTTGCCGTCAGGGAGGAGGGTGGTGTCTTCAGACAGGAGACAGTCGGCACACGTCTCATAGTACTTCCCATCATGATAGGAAGTGTGACCATTGATGTTAACTGTGGAACAAAGATTTAAAGCAGCACAAAATCCCCCAATGTTATTTTTTTCTAGTTGAGCACAAGAAAATACAGCAGACACTATCAGATTAGTGATACATTTGGATGCTTGTGTGACTGTTTTTAATGAAATACAGACATTTCTCTGTGATGCAAATCACCCACAAATCATTACAGCGCATAGAGAGAGAGAGAGGGTGAGACAAAAAACACAAGATGCGTACAAGTGGTGTGGCTGGTCATTCCAGAGATGGTGGCGTTGGTTGCACCCTGCAGGCATTTATCATCATTTCTGTAATGAGAGAAAAAAAACATCCACATCAACTCCTCAATATAAACTATGAGCAGTGAGCTCCAGAGGACGTTGTGTGCTCTTTGCAGTGTCCTCACAGGCGGTCGGCCCAGTAGATGGTCATGACTCCGCTTTCAGAGGAAGCGGACAGTTCCAGCCAGGAGCTGTTCACTGTGACCAAGTCGTTCTTCAGGCCGGGCTCGTCCCATGTCCCGACATGAAACACCCACTTCCCATAGATCTGCCACACACATAATATAAAATGATAAGATGTGAACAATACTATGCAATGTAGTGTAATATAACTTGACATAGTATAGTATGACAAAATACAATATAATGTTTATCCACTTAAATGGACTTGAATCTTTGGAAAGAGTGAATGCCAAAATGAGAAGAAAACAAAAAATTAAACACACAATTGCATAACAATTTTATTTACTGAGGAAGATCTTGAATAATACGATCAAAAGCTCCAGAACAAGCGTAATGGACCAATGTGCTGAGAAACGTCATGCAAAGACATGAAAATACCTATTATTGGTTTGTTATCTGCTATGAATTGCTACTAAATTAAAAATAGAGATCGCTTAAGGCACATTCTACTCATGCAGTAATGTAAATGGACAGCTAATAATAAAATATGCATGAAAGAACCAAATATATACATTTTTTATGTTCAATCTCATTGTAAGAACCTTAAAATGAAAAATGAAATCAACACAAAAGCTCAATTCTGCAACATCAATAACCGGTGGGACTGCACTGCAGAGCCTCCTCACAGATGACACAGCAAACAGAAGACCAGCGTTACTCACAGGGCTGTGGCTGTCCAGGACCAGAGGCTTGAGCAGCTCTTTGCAGTCGGTCGGTTCAGACGAGACACCCAGGGAGGCGAGAGCCAGCAGAGCTACAACCAGCTGTGCAGCCATGGCTTGAGACAGCGGGCAGCCAGAGAGCAACACCAGTGTCAGGGATCCTGCCAGCTACAGCCTCCTCACAGGGACCAGGGGAAGTGTTCTGTAACAGTGGGCTGGGCCACAGACACACACACATACACACACACACACACACACACACACACACACACACACACACACA